TGTCTTGGAAGTTTTGGTTCCTGCCCTGGCTAACTGCATAGACAGCATGTTATACTGTACCTTATCTGGATGGACAATGAGCACAGCCTTCCTGTAGTACTTCTTCACCTGGTCAGGTGTCACCAGATCAGCCATACCCACAGGCTTCCAGCGTGTTTCACCTTCCCACAGCACTGTGTTCAGAGTTGACAGCAGTGCTCTGATGTTTCGCTCCTTCCCTTCAATCCAGTCCAAGATCTGTAGCATGACAATAAAATAAACCTTTACTACTTTTAGCATGGAAAAGGCAGAAACACTGCGGGTGATGCAAGAAAGGCATTCACTCCTTTATCCTGCTATTTTTAAAGATCAAACTATATTTCATCCACTCAAGAATTTGTTTTGAATACTGTGTGGGTTTTTTGGTGTGTAACATGTCCTTCACATGTGCATTTAAATTTGTTACCTGTAGTTTAAGTGGGTCGATGTCTTTTGTGATCTCCTGTCTCCTCATTTCAGCAATGGTCCTTGGTCCCTTCCTATCAGGCCTAGAGGCGAAACCCTGAGTCGACAGCAGGTCTTCAAAATCATCCTCCTTTACCTTAGGCTTGGGGCCTGCGTTACAACACAATACAGAGAAATTAATTGTCTGTCACAGAAAATCTGTAGGAATAATAAGATGCAAGCAGAGTTTGTTGTACAAGATAAAACCTTTTTGAAGAGGAAATACAAAATTCCTTAAAAAAAGGAATGTAACAGTGTCATGTGCTGTAGCTGTGTGACAGAACTGCAGCATCAAAGCTGAGTTGTTTTACTGAATGAGTTGAAATACTGAATTGCTCAACTATTTCTTAAGAGTTTGCACCAAAGTATAGAACAGAGAATCAACACAGTATGTACATAAATGTTACAAATTCCTGTTCCACTTTCAGTTGAAAACCATATCTGAGTAATATTTGAGTGATAACATATAAAATAACATTACATGACAAAATGATCCCAAACTCAGGTCTACTTAATTTTTCTTACCAAATCCAGGCCCACGGACTCCTCTCTCCTCTCTCCCACCAATGACACTAGCGAAGTTAAGGTTGTAGTTAGGTTTGGTGGGCTGTGCACCTGCAGGCTGAGATGCTGCGGGTGCTTTGGGTGTGGACCCGGAGCCTGATCCAGGCATCCAAGGTTTGTTCTGGGCTGAGGTGGGTCTTCCAGCCTGCCAAGGCTGGGCTTGAGGCTTAGCAGCGGAGGGAGGAGCCTTTGTGCTAAAGGACGGCCCAGAGGAACCTACAAGAAACAAGCAGGAATAATAGTTATTTAAGATAATCTATGAGTTTATAATTTCAAGTATTTCTCTTTTAAAAAGGTCCAGTGTGTAACATTTAGTAGGATCTATTGGCAGAAATGTAATATAATATTCATAAGAATGTTTTCATTAGTCTATAATTAACTGAATATAGGAATCCTTATGTGTCTATTATCTTAGAAAGAGCCTTTTATCTACAGATGCCATGGGTCGCCTTCAATGGAGGCTGCCAAGTTAAACAGTGATATTTCTACAATAGCTCAGAACAGACAAAACAAACACTTGCTATAGATAGGGTGTTTTTTTGTGTTTCGTGACCACCGTAGTTTCTCCTTTAAGTTTGGAAGGAGAGGGTGACCTGAGGGAGCTGCAATCTGCAATCACACTGCTAGATGCCACTAAATCCAAACCTATACACTGGACCATTACAGGCAATTGGATAGTTGATGAGGCCTCTTACCTGGTAAATTGGATGCCAGGTTTCCTAAGTCAGCAAAAGGATCAAAGGTCTGAGACTTGGCCTTTGACATAGATGGCCCACCAGAAGCTACAGACACAGTAACAATATGTAGGTTAGAATTTTCATGATTGTCTACAAAACTGACAATTTCTAGTGCTCCAGTCAATCTCCAGCCTGACACCCTGACATAATGTTCCTCCACCTACCTGTGTTGGTATAGTTGGGTTTGCTGGAAGTGGCACTAATGCTAGCAGTGTTGCCAGCTGCCCAACTGTCCCATCCACCCAATAGGTCTGGCTGGCTGGCTGATGATGTCATCTTCGGGGTATCATTCACTAGCTTATCTGTTAAGAAACAAACAGCCAAAGTTTTACCAATTAAGTTTCTTTTGCATGATACCATTAGTGATTGCTGGCTGCACATGTCAAAAGGAATGTAATACCCACATTGCAGAAAATAGAAAAATGTTTTTTCCAGCAAAACTGTGGTCCCAAAAGCAGATGGCGAGATATGATTTGGGACATAATACTGAGTGATATCAGTGGCTGATGTACTTACTGAGGTTGAAGAGGCTCGTGTTGGAAGCAGGAGTGGGGTTACTGTGAGCTGAGCTGAACCCGCTGGTGGCTGAACTATCAGAACCCAACAAGTCTCCAAACAGGTCCGGTCCAGAGGCCTGCCTAGATGAACCTACACTGGATCCAACACCAGAGCCGGACCCCATCCCAAACGGATCAAAAAGGTCGCCCATGGCTGCAACATGAACAGTGGGGGGTAGAAAATAAATGCACTGAAGATACCGGTTAAGTTTTTCATAATAATGCACAAAACAAGCCTCGACCCTTACGCTTTGAGTCGGGTGTGGCCCCGCTGGTTGACCCACTGAAGAACAAGTCTTCCTGCACTGCTACTGTCTGACCAGCAGGGGGAGCAAACAAGTCGTTGAGGAGGTCACTGTTGCTGGATGCAGCCTTCATTCCTTCCTGGACCCCTTGATGAGGAGCAGATGAGGAGGTCGAGGACATGGAAGGAGGTTGAGGGTCAGAATTCAACCCCAAGAGGTCAGCTGTATCCCCAATAGGAGATTCCTGGGCTGCGGGAGGGGGGCTCTACGGGAACACCAAGAAAAGACAGAAATGAATGGAATTGTGAAAGAAGAAAATCTGGCTCCATTTTGGCTCCACTTCATAACACAGTCAGGGTGCATGATAACAGAAGTCATACTGTATTGATGGTATAATATGATATAATCAGCCATCCAAGATGTTCCCCACCTGGAAGTCAGCATCAAACAGCGGTTCACTGGGGTCACGTGACAGTGCCTCCCCACTGGGGGCAGAATAAGAGAAGGACTCTCCTTCTGATTGATCACTCAGGTCCTCCTGATCATTCATGGATCCCCCTCCTTGGCTGTCTGAAGCATCCTGAGGGCCACGCACATCTACAAATATAAATTGGAATCAGTGAGTGAGTAGGGTGGTAAATCAAGAGGTCTGTTTGAGGGTTTGTCTGCGAGAACTATGGCAGGGAACAAAATGAGAGGCTCTCTCCTCTTCTTAATAATGTACGACAATAATCAGAATATTAAAGATGTATGGAGCAAAACAGAGATGATTTTGGTAAGGCTGAAATAGTATAACGAGAACACAGGTACAGTACCTTCCCAATCTAGTGTCTGGAAGAAGTTGTTGGCGTTGCCATCAGTGCTCCCAGGAGAGTCTGGTTCTGGTGGATTAGAGTCTTCTGGGGTCTGAGCCGGCTGGGGCGACTCTGAATCATAAAATGCTGAGGAACCTGGCTGTCGAGGCAGCTCAGGCTTACCTGTAGTAAATGAGGTTTGATGTTAAGTTCAAATGTACAAGTGAAGTAGAAAAAGTGTAGAAATACATGCTTCTAGTGGGATTGAGAGTATAAAGAAGAAATATCTCTGATATATAAGTAAACTGAGAGACAGATGGATGGGTGAATGAATAGAATAGAATAGAATAGAATTCCTTTATTGTCACTATACACATGTACAATGGCATTAAAAGCCAACTCCAACAGCAGTGCAAAAACAGTGTAAGGAATATAAAAATATACAGTATAAAATAGGACATAAAAGTAAATGTGTAAAAGAAAAAAGGGAGATAAGTGCAACAATCTTGAGGAGTATGTACATTTGTAAAATAAATATGGTGCTATATACAGATGTTAAATATATATATATATTGCACATTATGGTATGGGATATTTTTTTTTTTTAACAGTGTATAATAGTAAAATAGTAATAGTGACTGAAGAGAGTCCGGGGGTTGGGGTGGTTGGACTATGAAATCAGTGCATGTGAGAGTTCAGGGTGGTTATTGCTTTTGGGAAGAAGCTGTTTTTGAATCTGTTTTTGTCCTAATGCACCTGTAGCGCCTACCTGAGGGCAACAGGTCAAACAGGTGAAAGAATGGAGACAGTGTCACCTACCAAATTTGCTGAGGATTTCCTGCTGTTCATCACGAGAGGAGAAAAGGATTTTGGGGTTGAGGCCCTTGGTTTGGAAACCCTCCCAAGGAGGGGTCTTGGTGCTGGGTCTGTCCCTGGGTTCCACCTCAATGTCCAAGTTGACCTGGAACAAATCTGGGTACTTCTCCTGTATGTCACAGGCATCCAAGTCATACCTGAAAAGAGAACAGGGAGATGGGAAAGAGGAAGTAGGAAGGAAGACAGAGTTAATTAAAAAATAACAAATCTGTTGTAGTTAATATTATTGTCCAGGGAATAGGAAGTTAAGAATACGAAAACAGTGATCTTGCTGAATCAAAAGTACTGCATTTTTCAAAATTGTGTACATACTTGGCAAACTTGACAGTGGTTGCATTTCTGGGGACAAAGCCTGTGTGGAACTGGATCTGAAACATCTTCATTGACGCCATCTGAGAAACAACAGTGTAGAATTAAAAATGAGCTTTTGTCCATATTCATCACAATTTCTCTCAAATCTATTCTAAAACTGATGTGCTCATACCTTGGCCTGCAGACGTCCCCCGAGTGTAGATCTTGCATGATAGATCACCACCAGTACATCTCCCTGAACTGTCACATTGAGGGGAATCTCTGCTCTTCCATCCTCCATCTTAAAATCCCTGGAAAGAGCCAAAGAATGAGAGAAAGAATTAATAATTGAAACAGCCCAAAAAATGTTTTACTCCTTTTACCGAGGGAAAGCTGAAGAGAATTCTTATGCGTCTACAAACTTACTTCATCTTGTCATACTCCTGTGATGTGGTGAGGACTCTCTCGTCTCCAACATAGACCTCACAGAACGGCCTGCACCCGTTACGCTGCTTGTTGAACAACGGCACAGGTGTCATGACGATGGAGCGGATTATTATGGGCTTGCTGTGGGGGATGATGGGCTCCTCTGCCATCATGTCACACATATACTCTATATACCTGCGACGATCAAACGCAAGGTAAGGATCAAGAATTGTGGGCTTTTGTTAGTTAACAGTAAATATTTTGATGAGCTTGAAAATGAAGACAAAAAATATATTTGAGATCTGTTTAGGATCTATTCCATAATTCTAGGCTCAAATCCAAACCAAGATGACTAAGCAACAAAACCGAAACCCTTTTCTACACCTCATAATTTGTACGTGTGTGTTTGTATACCTCTTGTGTGAGGGTGCTATGCCGGGTGGGCAGCGTTTCATTGAGAACATGTAGACAGCAGCCTCAGCAGTGGTGAAAAGTCGACAAAAACACAGGAAGGAGCAAACTGCCACTGCTGATGCCGCTCTGCCATCCTACAAAGAGAAAAGCTGAAGTTAATAATTAAAGATATTGCAGGTGTCATCCTCCTCCATATTTTACTCCCTCAGCCCATCTGAGCATGCATTAGAGATTAAGTCATCCATCATCTTAGTCATCTAGCAGGTGGCGAGAGGTTACTTACCAGACAGTGTACTATACAGATGTTCCTCTGGTCTTGTTTGAGCCATAGATGCATGTTCTTACAAACACTGTAGAGACTGCGGAGGTTAGGTGCACGGCGCACCTGCCAGTTACACTCTGAAACCTACACACACACACACACACACACACAAAAAAAGCAAGAGTAACTTTAGCAGTAGCCGATAGCAAATATACAGCAATAATAAAAAGGTATGTATTACAGTGCCAAATAAGAGAAAAACACTTCTGACACTGACTGTTAAGAGTAAACAAACTATCCACTCACAGCAGTGACTCACATTAAGACAGTTTGATAATGTCCCATTCTAAAACACATCCGCCCAGCAAAAACATACACACAAACGTCATACCCTGTTGTGGAATCGAGAAGGCCTGTATGATCGTTTGGAGAGGTTGTAGACAGCATAGTGGCCAGCATGACGCGAATCCAGGAACAGACGCACGTCCTCAATGTTGTTCTTTATCGCTGACTCCACCCCCTCTGCTGGGAAGGACATGACTGCGCACACACACACATAGAGAGAAATGTGTAGCTATTAAATAAACAGTTTCTTGACAGCAAAATGACAACATTATGAAGTAAAATAAGGTAAACAAAATTTAAAAAGTAAGTTTTATGGAGGGTACTATGCCTACCTGCTATTCTGGAGGTGATGTATGAAATATCCAGGTCCCCTTTGGCATAGCTGTAAGAGAAATTACAAGCACACTTATAAAAAAGGAGTTGGTATACAAAATAGTGGAGAGGACAAAAAACACAAAACACTACAAGAAATAAAAAGTTAAAAGGTATTTCTAAGGTCTGGGAGACTGCACAAATAGAGCCAAACAAACAGCCTGGTAACGCAAACTGGTTCAGAAACAAGAAAAGTTTGCATTACTATATACTAGGTATATTCTGGTATTGAAAACACAATGTTGCAGGATGGAGAGGTTCCCAATCGATGGCTGAATGGGCATCTCTGCCTGGGCTACCACACAATACAGAAGTTCAACCAGTCTTGAAGGTCCCGGAAATATACAAATTAGACTACAGTTTATTATTCCTCTGAGTCTTTATTGCAGCACATGCATCTGGCAGATGCTTGTTGTTGCTTTTGAGAATTATTACTGCCAATAGCTCCTTGGTGTTAAATATTATTGGCAGTTAATTGATGTAGAACATAGGCTACATTGGATTTTATAGCATATCACATTGGAACAATGACAAACAGCAAAAACAATGCAGTATGATACCACTAAAAATTCAAATTTAGAACACACAAACACACTTTAGGTTGAGCAAAAAAAAACCAAACAAACAAAAAAATCTATCTATGCTGATGACACTCAATTTTACATGTGTGGTGTCAGGATAGACGGGTGATGGTTAGGACACAGATGTAGCTGAAATTGCCATTTAGTAAGCAGTGGAGCCATATTAAAACCTTTAAACTACCATTAATTATTCACTCATTCATTCAGTCATTCATATCTGACAGTAATTCCCAAACAGGAGTACTTGTATATACTCTTGGAGTTTGTTGGAGTTAAGTGTAAAGATTATAGCTCAAACACCCAAAACCCTACATGAGTTAGTTAGTTAAAAGTGATGAATAAATGGTTAAAATAGATAGCTAAAAGTAATGTATAAACAGTTACAATAGTTAGCTTAAAATGATAGATAATTGTTCAGTTGAAATATTTATCTAAAAGCAATGAATGAATTATAAAATAGCTAAAAGTAATGTATAAACACTTATTATAGTTAGTGTACCCCCTAACAAAAAAGGTTGGGGACCACTGATATAGGCTATGGATGAGGCTTGAACAGCTGAAAATTCTTTACAAATTATACATACAAATTATGATTGGTATAACAATGGCAGCTAAATTAAGGCATTTTTACAAACCACTCACATTTTGACTAAACTTTTAGGGCTGTTGCTTGTGCACTGCTTTCTGGTATTTAACTTTACAAAGACTTGTCTGCTGCAGGTTCTATAATGAGGCAATCATTGCTATACCACCAGCTCTAAATTTAATGCTTGATTTTCATTTTAAACTTGGCTGGCCCAATTAGTTCCCACGACATCCATATAGAATATGTTTCACTTTTTTTTTTGTCATTCACTGATATAATTTTTCAATCATTTGACCCTTCCATTCACTCTTAAAATGATACTCATCCATCCATTCACATCACGCTCCGCAGTCATTCAATTGAATTATTGAATGTGTGATGTTAGGATCAGCAAGCTGTGATGACGGACACAGCACAGCAAATGGCTTAGTGGGGTTTTTCTTCCTCTAAATCAAACACAAACTACTGGAGCACACAGAGCAACGCATGAGCTGACGCATTTCACCGACCCATATTTACCTCGGGTTGCTAGGTGATGGACACATAGTGGGACCATGAGGGATTGGGACAGAGAAAAGAAACAACAAAAAATAAACAAAATGACCAAACAAATGGAACAAACCGATGATAGAATAACCAAATGAAACATCAAAACTGGAACGGATAACGTGGTGATTAAAGGAACACTTTGCATTGTTGTAACCCTTTTAAACAGATCAGTCACAGAGGCTGCCTGTCTATACTTCAACAATCACTGTAAATGTTTTCTGCAGTGTCATTGATCACTACACTACACTACAGTCTGACTACGTTACACCCACCATCCACTGACTTATTTTTACACCTGTGGTTGGTGAAAGAACTACAAAGAGGCTTGTCTTTTCCTGGACTGGGAAGTCTGCCATCTGAATGGAAAACTTCATTTCAGACAGCCAACAGCAAAATGTTCCTTTTAAAGGGTTAATCTGGGGTCAGGGTAGGTATGAGTATGAATGGTTACATTACATAGACAATTTGCAGGTGTACAATCATCTACATTTGCTTCAGGTTGATGCAACGGTGATGCAACATGACTGCTGACAACTGACAAACAGCATTGTTTAGAAAACTGTTAAGCCATTCAGTGGATGCCTGAATTAAAAATTCTTTACAAGACAATGAGTGCATAACTTTAGTACAATAAATGTGATTTCAACAGTTAGCAGATATTTCCCATTAACAAAATTGTAATAAATGATTACTAAAGCAAACACGGTGGCGGAATTAAATTAAAAGTTCAGTCAACACCACTAACAAACATTAACATGATGGGAATCATGAGATTAATTCAGCAACACGTAACCATGCTATGCCAAGTGAGGAAAAAGGTGACTGTAAGGTTAAATTAATAAAACAGAATCACAGGCTTTATTCAACTCTCGTGCCGTAAAAATATTAACTGAAAAGTATTCGACTGCAAATGGAATATGAATACATTTAACAATGATAATCAAGATAACAAGGTTGGAGCACCTTACCTTGCTACTGACTGGATGACCTTAGAGGAAGTGTCCTTTATGTTGGTCAGGAAGCGCTCTGTTCCTCCCCTTAAGATATCGAAGAGGCCACTTCCCGATTGGTCAGGATCGTAGACACCTATAAGAAAAAGAGAATGCAGAACATAATATATTTGCAGACATTGTCATTGCACTGACATTCGGTTTAGCTATAGAACTTAGGGTTACAGGTTACCTCACAATGAGAACAAAAGCATTTATGCAATCTTTGCATGAAACAGTCTGCAAAATGATATGATAAAAGGACCTAAATACATGCATTTGACTAATTAGAAAAACATAAGTAAAATACTTATTCTATAGTTGCAAAATGGCCCATTCCCTCTTAGCTGCAATGTGCACCATACACCATCACATAAACACAAATGCTTGTTTTTTTTTTTAATACTTTGAATAGATAAAATCAGTTGCTTTCCATTGTGTTGGAGCTGCACGATGTTTAGATACGACAGATTGCCCTGGTCTGATGAATGGACGAGAGGACTGGATCCACTCCTCAAGGGAAAGAGCAAACATATTCCGCCTTTCAACAGATGGTTGACTAGCTGTGCAGAAATCCTCTTAATGGATAGTACACAGTCTGCGTGTGTGTGTATGTGTGCGTATGGTTGTTAGTGAGTATAAATGGGAAAATATTAATGCTGTTTTGCTCATTTGGAGAACAGAAATGTGATTTTTTTTTCCAAAATGCCATCACCTAAAAACAAAACAATTAGCTATTTCTAGAGCTTGCTTACTTTCCTTCAGACATACCGTAGGGTGGGAAATCACCAACAGTCACCAAATGCCAATATGCGGTCTGTGGCTGTATAGTCTTCTCTAACCCCGATTTTAGCAGGCATCCAATCTTGTGGTTGCTCTTTTCTATTGTGCTTACTAATACTAAAAGCAATGTATACATTTAAAAACTGAGCATTCCAGCTATCGCAGCCAGTGACATACAAAGTAAATATTAAATATTACACAAGCCTTTGGTTTATGCTCAAGATCATTTAAGGTTAGTGGGTTACAGAATGACTAGAACATCATGCGTACACTTCGAAGCAAAGTCAAAGAATCCTGCTCTTATAACCATTTCAAAATGAGTGTCATGTTGGGAAATTTCCGTACATATCTAACACAATTCTGTGACACACACAGCAGAAGAGGCCGTGCGGTCGGCCTGTCAATAGCCTCTTCACGGGCTGGCAGACACTGAGGATGTGCCCCTGTTTCTCCAGCCAATTACTCCAAAATGCACTTGGTTATAGTTGTCACTTACTTAAAACCGATACCAGAATAGCAGAAACCACTTTAGACAGTTACAACAAA